CCAGCGTAACTTGTGTCCTCCCACCAGTAGCTTGATCTTCAGTTGGATTCAAATCAAGCGGCAGTGCGAACCACGATATCGTCTCATCCAGAAAGCCACAGCCCCTTGCCAGCAAGTCTGTTGCCAGCATGCTGCCACTGGAAAGGACGTGCGATGACCGTTTCCAAAAGACGTGCGTAAAAGCAACTGGGCTGCATTCCCGTGAATTGGCCTCTGCCCTGTCAGGAGGCTGCAAACGCATGGTGCTGCAAACTGCGGAAGCGCCACTAGTGTCTTTTGGCTTCTATTCTTGGAGTTTTTAAAGCGCCGCAGCGCCAAAGACAACATAGCCGACATAGCCACCCTTCCTGTAACACTATCGCACCCCTTGTGCTACCCTGTATAGGAGCCGCCCAAGGCAACCCTAAACTCCGAATAACATAACACAGAAGGCAAGCACGCCCGCATAGCCGGGTTGGACTGTGAATGACTGTGATATCGGCTCTTTCCACAAGAAGCATCAAGCGGCTTCCATTACATGTCACTCCTGTTTAGGGACATATTCGTACTTGTAGCAAGGTTTAGTACTTCGGGTTTCTGTCTCAGGACTTTTGCGGGCGGCCAAACACAATTACAAAAGAGACTTCGGGAAGACCTGGCAGAAGCAAGAACCCTAAACCCCAAACCCTCAAGACAGAAATAAATAGAAACCCTTAACAATTTCTATCAAGGACACCACGCCTGGTGGCGAGTGCCTCTCCCACATCGAGGCTGGGAGCAGACTCGCCTTTGACTCGGATTCGGAAACGCTTTTTTGGGGGCCTCAAGAATTAGAACAGGGTTCCTTGTAAAGGGGTCTATAAGTATTACTATAAGGGGTCAAAAAGGGAGCTATATTACAGGGGCCTTCATAATTAGAATAGGGTTCCTTCAAAGGGATTCCAGGGTTCTATAAGGGGTCTATACTAGGGTCTGTACCATAGGGCCTAAATCATAACCAATATAAGTGCCTATAGTCGGGCTTTCGGGTTGAAAGAAGGCTTCGGTGGTTTGGGGAGGGTCCACAACGTCACTGTTGCGGGCAGTCTACACATCTGCGGTTTCAAAGGCTGCTACGTAACTCCTAGACCGTTAAAGCCCTCAAGCCTTAAACCCTAAACTCTGAACCGTGTTGAGCGGGATTGCAATGCATTCAGCCCGAGATCCCTTGAGGTAAGCTCCAGACCCTGAACCCCTAATACACCCTCAAGCCCTAAACCCTAAACCATCCTAACCCAACCTCTAAACCTCTGAACAAACACCAAACTCCATAAACCCTCATGAGATGTGGCGGGCTTCGCAGCGAAGTCTGGTAGCATGGATTGTGCTTGGGACTCGCCAGATAAGGTCTACACGACTGCGGGTTCGATGTGCCTGGCCCAAAGAGGTGCAACTACACCTCCATGGCAGCCCAAGAAATACTCTGCTGCGACAACAACCTGTCGCACGGATTTGTATGTTTGTGTTTGCGATATCCTGCCGATTGAAGCAGAGTCGTTGCACCTCGAACAGCTTGCCTGAAGCACCATGCAGCCCGCCAAGAGACATGTATTCTTCCAATCACCCAAATATACCATATTGTCACACTCCCCTGACGCTTCTTGGAAAAGCAACCCTAAACCCTAAGCGGGCACGTCAAGACGATCGAATCCACCAGAACCTCCAGAACTATCAGTCGAATAGAAAAGAATGCTAATTACTACAACATAGTTTCATAACAACCCATATGTACTGTAATGTACTGTAAATTCCGAATATGAAAACTTTAAGCTCAACTTATGTAATGGGTATTTTTGACGTGAGGCTGCCAAAACTCGAGCCCATGGAACTGATCCTAGCGTGTGCTGCAAGCAACGCTCGCAGATATAGATCCCTTATAGCAACCCTTATAGACCCCGTTAAAGGAACCCCCCAAAATAGTACGTATAGGTAACTCTTGAAGGCCCTATACTATAGTACCCCTTTAGATCCCTTATAGCACCCCTTATAGACGCCTTTAAAGGGAACCCTATTCCAATCATGAACAGCTGGGAGTCGAGGTATTACATTTCGGACAGAGACCCTCCACGTTTGGAGAGTCGAGGGACGCAGCATCCCACGCAGTCGCTGCTGATCTGCCGTGACTCGTTCCACCTGCTGCCGAACAGGTGCTCTGGGGATCAAGATAGCCCAAAAGCCTTTTCTAGTATAGGCTTTGGGCCCAAAAGCCTTAATGTATGAGTCCTTAGATCCCTAGGGTGGAGGCGGCAGAAATGTTGTCAAACTTTGGCATATGTTATGAGCAGTGCTGTTGCTGCCGTTCGTTGTTCTGCTTTTTGATTCCACGGTTGGCATTGTCGCACTTCTTCAAAGAAGGCCGGCACAGATCACGATGTTGTCGACTTTTCTCCTATCGCCCCGAGCCACTAGAGGAAGACTTCCGCATGTTGATGGCATCTTGCGTGAAGGGCCTTAACTTGAGTTGAACACTGTACATTAACTGTGTCTCCTGCAACCGTCTACGGGAGCAGTACGTTGCGTGCCGTGCCTCCGTCTTCTTCTCCTCCACCTTCCGCCTGCCAGTGGAGTGCTGGAGGGTTTCCAATTTTCAACCAGGCCTTACATAGAGAGCAATGCAATGCAGCCGGCCGCATCCCATGGCAGGTGGCCTCCAATGCTCCACTTCTTCCACACCGAGTCCTTCCTCCACCTCCTCAGGTCCTGGCGCGAGAAAGCCCAAGATGCAACCTGAAGCAACAGCCACAGGTCGCAACCTGCCTGGTAGGGTTTAGGGTTTTTTGCCTCCTGCATGGAAGTTTAGGGTTGGGCAAAATCTGGCTACTTTGGGAACTTGTGCATTTCCTCTTTCAACACTCTGCATGGATCCTGAAAGCGAAGGCCCGCACCCCAAAACCCTAAATGGGTGGTTGTCCAAATTAGGGTCCCTTTTTGGGTACCATAAATATTAGGTGCCGAACAAGAATAGGTACCCAGAAAGGAACCATAATTTTGATAACCTCCCAAATTTCTGAGGCCAGGGCTCAAAGAACCCGAGACTTGAGGCAGGTCTTCCGACGACTTGGCCTGTGAACAGGAATTCCGAGCACCCCATGAACCCGCCGCTGAGTTGCATGGCAGCTGTGCTAAAACATCTTGCGTGGAACAACTTATTATCCAACTGTTTGATAAAAAGAACAACAGTAACGACATGATTGCGATAGCAGTTTAATCAGACGCATGGTAGCAATAGTCATAACAGGTACTACTATCGCTATCCCTGCCTAACACTCCCAATACCGCAAAGTAGGCACTAGCTTTAGACCACACAGTAGGTGCTAGTTGTACAGTCAGAGTCCGAGGGCATTATGTCATGCCACCTCCCTAAACTCAACCCAAAATTCCCCACCCCAAACCTTAAACCCTATAAACCTCGAAACTTTAAGCTTACCCTCTCTGGTCGCTAAAACTGCGCTCGTGCGGAGCTACCCGGGCAGAGAACCATTGCTGATATTTGCCATCCATGCGTTAGATCCGAAATCCTAAACCACAAAACCCGAAACCAATAAACCCGTCAACGCCTAATTCCAAACCTTAAAATCCGAAACCCTAAACCCTAAACTCTAAGTCCTAAAGCCTCAACCGAAGCTGCTTCATAAGATCCCGGCCTCTTGCAGCTCCGCCCAAAGGCTAGTCGCCTGCTCAGGAATCTCTGCAGGAATCTCTGCTTCGGGTTTCGGGCTTATGACTTTAGGTTTAGTGTTTTCTAAACCCTAGACCTAGGGGCTAGGGGTTTAAGGCTTTTTTGCTGCCTCCTGCATAGCTTCGTAACAAAGCAGGGTGGCTTCAGACATTGCCGTTCACAAGTCAGAGCCATGCAACTCATCAGCAAGTTAGTGCACAGTCCTCGAAGGAGTTTAGTGGGTTTAGTGTTTAAGGGCTCAGGTTAGGGTCCAGCTCAGGGTTAGGGTAGGGTGTTGATTGTGGTGTATGTAATATTCAGGTCTTAGCATCATTTTTGGCAGGTAGGGATTTGGGTTTAGGCTGTTTCGGCATGCAAGCTATAAAACCAAAGTTCCGTGGCCTTCTCGCGGGATGCTTTGGCTGCAGCTTCGGCCATGCTGATGCCTCAGAAAATTCGGGACATCGCCAATGTGTCAGGTTGATCCCATACTGTAAGTACAAGGTTCAACTCAGTGTATTACCGTTCTTCTATGTCTTGCTGCCTACATGCCTGACGTCGCAAGTGGAATACAGCCTTTGCTTGTCGAGACGCTGTGAGCCATAGTTTGGTTCTTGGCGATCAGGTCCACCTGATGACGGGAACAATCCACCTTTCATCCATGCCGCTGGCCACATCTGTTTGCTTGCACAGATACTGAGACAAGCACTGGAGCCAGATGGGTAGTTCTCTAAATTAGACTTCCTTTTAAGGCCCCAAAGATAGTACGACACCCTTATCAAAACGATCCTAAAAGGGACCCTGCTGTAGAGAACTGGCCGATGATGATGATACATGTCTGGTGGTACCGCCTGAGAAGAGGATCAAGGAACCAAACAACTACAATAAGCAGGAAACCCTATATAAAGCCTATATACAACGTACAACAAGCCAAGGGATGTCTTCTTGCCTTTCCTGGAGCATGGCGTCCAAAGACTTCTCAAGCGGATCTATGCTTTGTTTGGGTTTGGAGAAATGCGCTCCTTCCTGTTGTTGAAATCCATTCGGCCATTTGAGGGATTTCCATGTTATGCTAGCTTGCAACCTCGAAGCAAAGATTGCTGAATCAAGAGCTGGCTCGGCGAGGACAGGGTTGTGGCCTACACAACTCAAAAAATTCGACGCCATATGCTCTGACGAATAGTGCAAGCCCAAAGCCTGAAAACCCTGAACCCTTTTGCCCAAAGTCGCAAACCTAAACCCCAAGGTCCGGGATAAAGGCAACTCAGTCACAGAACAAAAGGCCTCCTGCGCACGCCCCGCCGCTGCCAGGCGTTCCATCTCCTTTCCGTGTGTTAAACGCAACTTAGGGTTTACGCTCTCACAACTCGGACACAGCCAGGCGAGGTTCTTGGTGCGAGGTCGGTGTGATGCAGCAAATTTGATCGGATCCTCATATGTTCCTGTTCACGACAGAGCACCCAAAAACCAAACAACTGCACAAACCCAGCACCTAATCAACACAGACACCGTCAAAGAACATGAAGGACCTGTTCGTAGTGGCTACGCAAAGTACTTGAAGAGTTCGTGCGAGGAGCGGAGGACATCAAAGCTATAGAAATTAACCAGGGTTTTGGACTTTTGGGCTTTTAAGCGCCATTTACATTGGCCGTTAAAACAAACAGTGCCTGTCTGGAGTCGACGCTGAATTCAACAGCTTCCCGACGTGAGAATGATGAGGGCATCATCCCACAGCGCATCGCGCGCAAAATTGAAACTTCCGAGCACAACCTGCCTTGATCTGGATTCGGAGCTCTTTGGCTTGCGCCCGGAGCGCCTGCTGCCATCTGCTACCCGGAGGATCGAGTCTCTGCCCATCATGCCAAAACTACCGGCTTACGCATCCGGCCCCGGAAAATATGCTGCTGACAGGGAACTGATGTTTATAAACCCTAAACCGTAAGCCCCCTCGACCTTAAACCCTTTAGATCACCAGGGGATCATGACCAAGCACCGAAAACCAAACGGTAGCGATCAACAAGGCCGAGCGCCTCAATCTCCAGCGCGACCTGGGGCCCCGCCTGAGAGAACAGTCTACTTATAACCAAGGGTGCGCAAAAATATATATATATATATATATGTATATGTATATGTATACGTATACGTATACGTACAGGTATAGGTATAGGTATAGGTATAGGTATAGGTATACGTATACGTACAGGTATAGGTATAGGTATAGGTATAGGTATATGTATAGGTATATGTATATGTATGTATATTTTGGCTCCCGCTTGGCTGTCTGACGACCATATATACATATATGTATATATATATATATAGAAAAGAATCATGATGACGATGGTGATGATGATAACTACAGCACGATATGTAAAATAGTATATTCGACTATTGTAGGGTTTGGGGGTTGTTCGACACTTACACTCGAAGACGGCCCTGCCTCGGACTCTCGAGGCACTTCCAGGTCACCTCAAGCAAACCAGACGGCGGAAGGTGCAAGCTTGCGGCTCAAGCAATGCTCAGATATAAGTTCTCGCTTTTTAGCAGGGGCTGCAATTCAAAAGCTGTATGCCTTAAAAATAGCCGAAAAAGCGTAATATCCAACCCAACAGCCATTCTAGGCCTGTTCGACATATGTAGGAACCTGATTAAGAAACCTTGGGCCTATAACCCGAAAAGTAGCAGGATTCATATATGTAAGGAACCCTAATAAAGGCCCGAGGCTTCTTGATCAAGTTCCTACATTAGTTGTACAGTTTCTCCAAAGCTTCGCAATCGTTTGAGCATCCCGCCGGCTTGCTTCCGCCGCAGGATCAGCCCGCAGTTCTTCCAGTAACTCACCTGCCGGGCCCAGGACCGCTAGAATAGGGTTCCTTTAATCATAGGGATCCTTAGGGGTGTAGGGGGAGGGGGGGTAGGGGGCCTTAAGGCCCATAATAAGGACTAATAAGGCCTATTTAAGGAAATATAGTCCCCTACACCCCTCCCCCCTACACCCCTAAGGATCCCTATGATTTAAAGGGGCCTATAAGGGTTACTATAAATGATCTATAAGGGTACTATAGAAAGGGTGCCTACATAATTACCAATACTGTTTTGGGGGCTCCTAACTATAAATATAGTATAATGGGCCCGAAACCCTATTCTGATTATTAAGGCCCTTATATTGGGGGGCGTCGATGAGACGTTGGCAACAGCTGTCAGAGGTCAGAACTCGCACAAAGCACCACTCGCGAAGGTAGCCCCAACGGGGCGCGGCACTTTTCTCCTCGGACCTGCGGTCCACGTGAATGCGCACTCCGGCGCCGCAGGGGAAGCCTATGGCTCACAGGAACCTGGGGTTCCAAAAGTAGTCGTAGCACCTGTGCTAAAGAAGCTTAGGCCAAAGGACGTCCTGCGGGCACGAAGTTGGGCAAGCACAGGAACGTATTGAACCTTGCTCACTACATACAAACGAGGCATTGCCTTTGACATGCCCCCAAAATCTTTCAAGGAGGGACGGCTGCTTGCTCGGATTCCAGTGCACGTCGGCGTCTCGCGGACATAAATGCACCAGGGAGGCGAAGCCTCCAGGAACCCTGAGTGAGGAATTTCCGCAGCGAGTCTTGCTTACTGCTCTTCGTCAGTCCATCGGCAAGCTGGTGGTCACTATCGCACCATTCAAGAAGAGTCCCCTGTGCCTTCAGCTGGTCCGCAACGCCCATGAGGTCAAGGGCTGAGTACTTGTCACGAAGGTTAAACCCCGAAGAGAAGTCAGCACCTTTAAGTAGAGCGTCGTAGACTCCTCGAGCGTCGATGATGAGGTAAGCCTTGGTCTTCGCAGTGAACTCGGCCGGATTGCTGAGGTTGATGTCGTCACCCAGCATCTCACGCCATGTCAAACGGCACCACATCATTTCTTGCTCGGCCAGAGAAAGGGCTTGACTCTCAGCCGCCAAGGAACTTCTAGCAACCCTCGGGAGTTTCTGGGAACGCCACGACACCAGGTTGACCTTGCCTTGTCCAGACAAGACGTCGGCCGGAGTCATCAGGCCTATCAAGAAGCCTCCGGTCGAGGACAGATCAGGCCGGTTGGCCAATGAAGCATCACTCCACCCGACGAAGATCAATTCTTCAGCGGGACAGTCTCCAAGGTTCTGGACGTGGGTCCCAAGGTGGCGGGCGCTTTGCACTTCTCGCACCAACTTGTTGATCTGACTAATGCAGGCGGTATCCTTGGTGGACAGAAGACTTTGTAGATGCCCGAGCTTCGCAGCATGTTGCGGCCCAGATTGCGTGACTCGCCACTGCACACTTCCCAGCACAGCTCTCGCCTGGCTCAATTCTCCATCGGTCATTGTCCGTGAAGGACCTTTTACATCCGGCATCTGGGTCAGGTCACGACAGAAGGCGGAGTGGTCGACCGTAATGGAGCTATCTCCGTGCTGGGTAAGGCGCAGGCCACAAAAGTCAAAGCTTTGCCACTCCCAAGGTGACCATGTGTACGCCTCCTCGAAGCTCTTCAAGAAGCGGATCCATGTTGGAGAGCTCGGATCTCCAGTAAAGAGGAAGTCGTCGACATAGGACCCGATGAGGCCACAGACCTTGCCGTTGGCATCGATGATTCTCCAAAGGCATGGGTCGGTGCGGCTTGGTCTCCCTCCCAGTTTCTTTAATGTCTTCTGGATGTCAAGGAACCATTCACGAGGAGCTTGAGCCAATCCGTAAGCTGACCCAGTCAGCTCTACCGCTTCATGCGGCTGTAGACCTAGCGCTTCGGCAAGCTCCGGGAGGGGCTTGGCCAGGAGCCTTTGAGATCGCTCCTCCGGTCTGGCCTGGAGGAAGGCCGTCTTGACGTCACCAGAACCAATGGGCCACTTCATCGCGCTCGCCATGTTCAACATAAGTTGCCTGGTCAGACGACTCATAGTCGGCGAAGTGGTGGGCTCTTCCAGCAAATTCGGGGCACTATAGCCCAGCACCACAATTCTCGCCTTAGCTTTCACCTGCTCCTTCCCTTCCGCATCCGGTTCGGCCGCCTTAAAGGTCAGAACCCAACGCATGCCGATCAAGGAGCTAGGTTCCACATGTTCACTGACCTTCCGGGCAACTTTTGTACGCAACCACTGCTGCACCTCAATGCTCTTGGCCTCTTGCATGGCAGCTCGCTGACGATCTGACAGGCGTCCCCATGTCACCTCCACACCTTTTGCCATAGTTTTGGCCACAAACTTGGAGGGGTCCTTGACCATCCGCCGCCACTCAGCGGCATTCTCGGGAGCTGGGATTGTGACGCCAAAGACGCGCTCCTGCTCGGGAGAAGCCCAGAAGGCTTGTTCTGACGCCTCTCGTTGAAGCACATGTGGAGGGCGGTCCTGCCGTTCATGTTCTGCTCGCTGTTGCTGAAAACTCGAGCTCGGTCGCGAAGTATGAGGAGGTGCTGGAGGGATCGGTCCGAGGGGAACATAATCAGGATCATTAAGCAATCGCTCCAAATCAAGAGTCTCATCGTCCCGAATCATTTCCTCCTCATTGGCTTCAGGCACCGGTGCAGGACGCTTCATTCCTTCCTTGCGCCGGTCCTCAATCATCTCCTCCTCGGAGTCCATATCGGCATCTCGTTGGTCTTGCGGCGGATCGGGTAATAGCTCAGGATCACCATCACCAGGTAGTAGTCCTCCGCCACCATCTTGATCATCTCCGACTGGGCGTTGCCGATGGTGAGGTAAAGGAGGCACAGTTAGATCCTCATAAGATCCCCGACCCATTGTCGCCGTTAGACTCGTCAAAGTCCAGGGATAAACCACGGTTCCAGAGGACTCTGCAATCAACTTCTCGGTTTCACTCGCGTGCCTCAGTTGGGAAACATGGGCCTTCTTCAAACGCCCAGACGCAATGATCCATACGTGGGCAGAGGGCTTCCGATCACCAGGTTGGCCCTTCGTTTCCGACGCTAGCACTCGAGCTGGTCCAAACCATCTCGAAGTCCTCATCCGGGGCCTGTCCACCAGCCGGTTCGACACCATATCCGCAGGATGCCGTAGGCGCTGATAGAACACAAGATCACCTGGGAGATAGACAGATGAGGAGTGAGGCCTTGTATTGGATGCACGGGAGGCCCATTGTCGCTCACGATGTTCCAGGAAGGCCTTCGCGGCTTGAAGTCGTACGTCACGGCTTCGGGAGGCTTCAGTTCCAGGAGTAGCCGCTGCAGAAATCGCGGCGAGCTCACCTTGGTGTTGATTGAGGCTCCCTCCGGGACTAAAGTCTCTCCCCAAGGCCCACTGCAAAGGACTGAAGCCATGAATCCGAGCATGCGTGTTGTGGGCTTGGACCATCGCCAGAGCAGCCTGGCCTGGGTCAATAGGATTGCCTCGAAGGAAGGATTCAATCTTCTCCTTGAGGATTCCAATGGCTCGCTCAACTTCACTGAGAAATTCATGATGCTCAGCCGGGCATACTTGAAGTTCAATGCCATGTTCGTCAGCCAAGTCGGCCATGGTGTGTCCTCGGAGAGCACCTTCAGCATCGAGCTTGATGATCGAGGGAGCTCCAAAGTACTGGAGCCATGCCTCTTGTACCAAGTTCTTCACCTCCACAGAGGAGGCATTCCATCCTTCGTGCTCGGAGGTAACCTTGATCCGGCGAATCACCGCATAACCAGAGGCCTCATCCTGCATCAGCAGAAAATGATGAATCTGTGACCCTATTCGGTGGTGGCACAGATCCAGCTGCAGGGTTTCCCACAACCTTTCGGACTTCTCCATCTGAACCATGGGTCGACGAGCCTTGCGCTTGCCTTCCTGACATTGGTCACATGTCAGTTGAGAGGCGGCCGCAATCAGCTTTGGGTCCGCGCCGCGAACTTTCAGGTTCCGGATCAACAGTCGATTCGAAGGATGCCCAAGTCGACAATGAATCTTGTGGGCTCGCTCGATCAATTCCGTGAGCTCCTTCTTGTCCATGGTCGCCAGCAGCTCCTTCTCAGCCTCAGTTACCAACACTTCGGCGGCATACAAAGGAGCTTCCAACATCTTCTCCGCAAGGGGTCGCCATGGAGAGGTGGTAGTACGTGAGGTGTTGGGAATTCCATGGAGAACCGAGGTATCAGAACTCCGAATCCAACATGGTCCACAGCTCACGGCTTGGCCACCATGGTAGTCTTGATGGGATCTCCAGAACTCACGAACCTCAGGCAGTCCGTCACAACGCTGCTGGCCCGAATGAATCCAGACCACCTTGCATCCAGCTGACAGAGCATCACAGGAAACCTTCAGGAAGTTGCGAAGGACTTTTCGTTGTCGCAGGCGGGCCTTGTCCCATCGAGGGTCCTCAGGTTGGAGGTTGGACCCTTGTGGTATATAGCAGACTACCCATTGGGGCCCAGTAGACCGCACAATCTCAGAAGTCCTTGCAGTGCCAACCTGAGTAGTCAGATCACAACCATCTCGGAATGACACCGTCGTCACCTCCGCTCCTCCCGACTCCAAGCGATCCCGGAGGCAGGAGGTCCCAGGGGAACCAAGCTCAAGAATTTGGGTAGCGCTGCCCTTTGTCTCCTCCGGGTTCTCAGTCAAGATCTCCTGGTACTCCGTCACCACCGCCATGATCTCGTCCTTCTCGGTTTCCTGGAGGATAACCTCATCATTCTCAACCTCACTCTTGATCTGGAACAATCCGGACATAGCTTGAGAACCTTTCGGGGCTACGAAACCAAATTCTCGGAGGTCCTGAAGAATATCAGGCTGGGCCCGCACAACCAACCTGGTAGTATAGGCTGCCAATGCAACCCTTCGTCCTGACCATCTCATCGTAGCATGCCAACTCTTTGGATCAAAGGAAACAATCTCATGCCACGTTGACTTCACGCTTCCCAACATGGATTGGCCATTCGGTCCTTTTCGCCTCCACAGCTCACCGCTTGCAGCTTCGCCAGGATCTCGAAGCCAAACTTCACCGCCAGAATGGTTGCCGAAGGTCACGAGGTAGTTGGCGCTGCCCTCCAAATTATGGAGGTCGCGATGGGGACGGGCTTCGGTATTCACCGAAAAGGCCAAGGAGGTCCAAGTGGCTTCACTCATGTTGGGCTGCGCCTTCAACCATGCATTGGCATACCGAGTCACCCATGGGAAACGCCATGTTTTGTTCAGAACACCACAGAACTTGCCATGACTGAACATGCCCAAGTGCAGCAACGCAGAGTCCTTACCCTTCGCCTTGGAGAATGAACGGTTTGCCTGGAACTGGATAGGGTTCATGAGGGACGTAAGAGTCTCCATGGAGTCCATCGTGAAGCTGTTGGACTGATACAGGGACTTGGCACACTCCTCAAGCGCCTGCTCATTACTAAAAATGGCCAAGTTCTCGACGTTCATGTCCTGCAACTCTGCCGAGTTCTCGACGTTCATGTCCTGCAACTCTGCCGGGTTCTCGAGGTTCATGTCCTGCAACTCTGTGGGGTTCTTGAAGTTCACTTTCCGCGGCTCTCGTACTCTTGGGTCTCGGCTGGCATCTCGTGGGATCTGGGCGCCTTTCGCCCGGGAGTCGCGGAGAGGTTCTCGCTGTCGGTCACCACGATGGTCTCGGACGGGGTCGTTGGAGCCGATGATTGCGTCGCATGGGAGTCCGGGTAGCCGTTGGGTGTCGCCGCCGTCGATCGCGCCAATGCCTTGGGAGCTGCTCCACGGGTCTTTGCAACGGCTGCTTGACGCTGGGCACGGACCTGGGCCAAATGCTTCTCCGCGGACTTCTCCGCAGCAGCCCATCCGATCTCCTTGTCTCGGAGATTTTCCACTGCCACATCCGGAAGCTCCCCCTTGACTGCTTGAGACGTGTCCTCCGGCAGTGGGCCAGGGGATCGCCGGAGTCCGTGCTTCCCCACTCGGGGGGTGTACGACAGGCGTAGGCCGCATGTCTTGCAGTGCACCCATTGGCCGTGCTGATTCGCACCGCTCCGTGATCCTTTCCCCGGCGGCTCCGGGACATGGTGGCTGAAGCATGGGGCTCCCGCGTAGCGGGGATCCCGAGGATCCGCCTCGACTGTGCGAGACGTGTCGAGGGGCATCGACTTTTCCGTCACATTCTTCGGCTTCGTCCGCCCTTTGCTGTCGGCCCCCTTCGAATTGAGTTCCCCACTGCTCACGGTGGTCGCCGGCAGCTCCGAAGACGTGGCCATGAGAAGCAAGGAGAGTCACTAAGATACCAAAAGGTCGCATCACTGGAAGCTCTCGGCTTCGATCTTGGGCCACGGCATTCGGGTTCGCTTCATGTTGACACTCATGAGAAGGAGGGGCAGGATCTCTATCAGATTCGCAAGCACCTTCAACAGCATGAGGCTCACTCTGCGCAACGGCTATTCCATGACCTGTCTCATGCACTGACTGGCACTCAACCTGCTCTTGATCAGACTGCACACCTCCGTCGATCATAAAGACAGACTCGGTTTTCTCAGGCTGCGCTAGCAGTACGGCTCCAGCCCTTGGCTGAAGCAAGTCAAATGCTTGAGACATCCAATCCTCTCTCAAGTCCAGCAGAAGGTGGCCGGTACGAGATCGCCTGAGGGGAACCCCTTTTGAGGGATCAACTGCACCAAACACAATCACATCACGGTGGAAGTCGAGCACAGCATGCAATCTCCTCAACGTTTTCACTCCAATAAGCAACGGTACACCCTGTACGTCCAACGTGAAGACTCCAAGGTTCACACACAACTCTCCCAATCTTTGCGGCAAAAGAACATGAGAAGCTGAATAACCATGCGCTCCATTCCCGAACTTGAAACGCTTCGGAGGTTCATCAGTCACCTGCACCTGGTCGCTCCTTCCAGTGGATTGTCTCCGGGCGATCATCAGGGCTTCTAGGGCAGGTAGACTACACACTGTTTCAGTCGCTCCAGAATCTAACACCGCAAACCCTGCAAGATCAACTGACGTCTGTCTCTCCTGCAGAAGCACAGTCTCCTCGAGGTCTCCCGGGAGGTGCTCAATGACCTCTGGCTCGAGGCTGCTGATCATCATCACGGACTCCTCAAGGCTGATGTCCTTCACCTCGGGAGTCTCAAGGACCTCGGGCTCGGAGAGCATGAAGACGCCCGCCGCGTTGAAGTTCACTGAGCCGCGGCCTTTTCCTTTCCGTCGAGGGCACTCACGGAAGGTGTGGTTCTTATCTCCACAGATGAAGCAGCCGGTGTAAGACTGGTCTCCCGGCCTCATCGCATAAACTGAGTCCACTTGCATCACCGGAAGCGAGGTAGCACTTGCTGGCGAGCTGGGGCTAGGTAGGAAAGGCCGTTTGCCTTTCTTTCCTTTCCCCTTTCCCTTTCCTTTCTTGCCCTTGGAGGACGGCTGAAAAGGATAGAAGCCTCTTGACAACCGCTGCGCTTTCACTGCCTGTTTCGCCTGAACAAAGTTCCGCAGCTTTCCGTCCGCCATGGCATAGGCCTCTTCCACTTCCTTCAGCTCCTCCGGAGACAATTGCGAGCTGGGGTCGTCCTGCCATTCTGCATCACCCCACCATGTCGTGCCCTCATCAAACTCGGGAGCCCAGTAATCCTCCGCGCTCTGGTCCTCGTCCAGGGAGTGATCCTCTCCATAGTAGTGGACCTCGGTGGTCTCCAGGATCTCGGTCATGTCCTCCTCGTCCATGAGAAGCATGGACCAATGCCCTTGGTCCTCAACCCAGAAAGTCCTTCGTCGGGGGCCTCCTCCATGACCACGATGATGAACTTCTTGTCCAAGTAGCTCATCTTCCATGGCCCTCATCGCGGCCTCGATGGAGTCCAGGCGTAGGGAATTTCCTGCTGCCGCCTGGATATTCAAGCGAGCCGAGTTGGACAGTCCAGCTCGCCTCAGTAGCAGCCATCCCAGCAACTCCGAAGGAAGGGCTTCTTCCAAGACCTCATTGTAGGATTCCCAAAGCTTAAGGTCCTGAAGCGCATGCTGGGAAGTATCACTGTCACTGTCCTTGTCTTTCCGGCCCCCTTTTCTCCATGCAGACATAGAAGTTTGTGCATCACGCGTGGTAAAGGGTGTCCTCGAGCGAGTCGGTGAGATTCTCGGGGACTCCACCTGCACGACATCGTCCTCCTCCACGGCCGGGCCCTCGCCAGGGAGGGTCTCCGTCTCCAGATTCTCGGTGTCCGCCTCGCCGTGGGGCTCTTCCATGGTCGCCGAACTCCTTTCGCCAGAAGCTCTCGCCGGTGATCCGCGTGTCCCAGAAGACTTCGGACTGAACCCAGAGGTAGGTGCCGGCTGGGTCTTCCGCACACGTCCCAGCGCCTGCTGGAGTTGTCGATAGGCCTCCCGCAAGCGAGAAGCCCAGGTTGAGAAGCTCTGCCCAGCTGGCCGACGGAGCCGCAAGATCAAGTTCTCCAAGCGGGTGCCGACATCGTGCACCACTCCAGGCCCAAGTCGGGTCTCCAAGAACTGAAGCAAGTAGATGACTCCATTTCGGCGGACCAGCTGGGAGTGGTCAATCTCCTGAGTCACAATCCATGCCCTCCCACTCAGTTGAGTGAGGATATCAGGGCCTAGCAAATGTCGCCGCTTCCGAGGGGTCCTTTCAAACGCCAAACGGGCCTTCCTCACGAAATCAGGCCACGTGCTGCTGTCGCCGTCCCATCCACAAGTAAAACGACTGTCCTTTTCGGACATGAATTCTCAAAAACCTTGCACTGGCTTTCCACTCCTTGCCTCGGTCTTCGGGATGATCAGGTACTCCCAGGGAAGCACCTAGTTCAAGCTCTGCAGAAGGATCCCGTAGGGCTCGAAGATGAAAAGCCAAAAGGACTGGTGGGCGGCCCAACCAGTCTGAGCTCCCAGATCTGAGCTCCGCTACCAACGTCGATGAGACGTTGGCAACAGCTGTCAGAGGTCAGAACTCGCACAAAGCACCACTCGCGAAGGTAGCCCCAACGGGGCGCGGCACTTTTCTCCTCGGACCTGCGGTCCACGTGAATGCGCACTCCGGCGCCGCAGGGGAAGCCTATGGCTCACAGGAACCTGGGGTTCCAAAAGTAGTCGTAGCACCTGTGCTAAAGAAGCTTAGGCCAAAGGACGTCCTGCGGGCACGAAGTTGGGCAAGCACAGGAACGTATTGAACCTTGCTCACTACATACAAACGAGGCATTGCCTTTGACAGGGGGTAGAGGGCTAATGTCGGAACCTGATTAAGAAACCTTGGGCCTTTACTAGGGTTCCTTCTATGACACCTACTACTAGTATTATGTGGTTACAGGCCCAGGGTTTCTTAGGGTTCACAGGCGTTAAGGGACGGGCTTGAAATGGGAGTTTCCGAAAATAGGGGACCCGTACCCTAAAAAATAGGATCCTTATTATAAAACCCCCAAAAATAAGGTACCCGAATTTTCGGAACCTCCCAAATTACTGTCGCTGCCTCCTCATCCAGCCGCTGGGTGCGCGCTGCCTCCTTGCGCTGGCGCGCCTCTGCCTCCCATGCGCGGCCACTCGCCAAATGGGAGTTTCACAAAATAGGGGAGCCTAATATGGTACCCTATATAGTAGGATCCTTGTTCTAAGGGCCCCCAAATAAGGTACCCCTAATTTTCGGAAACTCCCACATCAGCATCCAGCTCATGTAGCCTGGCCAAGCCTCCTTTTCTCGTCGAAGGAGAGCTTCCAGCCTGAGCCCGGCAGATAATCCGCCAACTCAGGCAAGCACCAAGCGTCGCACCTCGCCAAAAATCTTGCGAATTCCCTCAGACTTATATGGGAGTTTCCCAAAACAGGGGACCCTAATACAGCACCCTAAATAATAGGATCCTTATTATAAGGACCCCCAAATAAGGTACCCCTATTTTCGGAAACTCCCATATGGCTCGGGCATGTTCTACCAGAAGATCCTTAGGGGCCTGACTGCAGTTGGAGCTCGCCTTGCAGGCTGCGCACAGCCTTCGCATAGAAACTACCTTAACCCCGAAGAACCTACCATTGTTTTGAGGACTTATATAAAGAAATCATAATAAGGAGCCCTAAAAAGGTAGGTTATTCAGAGTTAAGGGTAAACCCTACCTAAGAATAGAAATCCTGGGGTTCCCAAGGGGTGTGGTGACATCATGGGCTTCTACCTTGGGGCCGAAAGGAGTTGGTTGCTTCGCATGGATTTCCCGCTGGTGGTGACTCCCAGGAATCGAATGGAAGATGCAGAACACGCTTGTTTCATGTCGTTTCCATGTTCTCCGGCACGAGAAATGGAAACGAAACGTACTGTGTTGGCGTATCTATGATGTTTCCCAATGACCTAAATTTAAAGGGTGGAGATTTTGTTTTTGGGGGTGGGGCTGGGGGTTTTGGGTTTAGGGGGGAGTTGCCTACGTTCCCCGGTTTCGGGTTTGGGGGGAGTTGCATTTGCCTACGTTCCCATAGGAAAACTGTTAGTTTGTTTATATTCCCCTAAAGCCAGTCTTTCATCTAGTTTTAAGGTGGAAATCAGGAGTTTTTCGATATGTCCATATCTACATCCATAGACCTGTGTTTGTCTATGTTTACTTCTGTTTACGCAGGAAAACAAACGAGTGAAGTTGTTTTTGGTGCAATTCTCCTTGTTTGGTGTTTATTGTTGTTATTTGGTTCGTTGTCTTGTATTAGCACTAGTATTGCTCATATTACTAGTATCTCAGTATGCTTGTTGTTACCCATAGTCTTGTTCTCCCTGCGTTTTTTCTTCTTTCCTTCCTTCCGTCTGCCTTGTTTTTTCCTTTTCCGTCCTTCCCTTCTTCATTCCTTCCTTCCTTCCTTCCTTGCTTCCCACGGAAGGGCCAAACAAAAAGGGGCAAAAACAAATTGGGTCCCCTGACCTAAACCCTAAACCCTACACCCTAAGCCCAATGACCTAAACCCTAAACTCCCTAAACCACGAAACCCTCAGAGCCCTAGACTTTGCGAGTAAAGCACTAGACATCCTGAAATCATGTCATCTTAAGCCTGCCAGTCTGTTCTGAAACCAGAGGCCAGCGACCTACTATACCGGCCTTAATCGATGGAATAGGGTTTGGCGGTATACGAGTATACTATACTACAACTACAATAAGGAACCCCCAACATAGTATGGCTGGGTTTGCAGATTTCTGCGCCAGGATTCGGAGGCGTGTGTTATCACGGGCCGGGAAAAGCGCAACGGCACACAATATGCAAGCGCCTTCCTTCCTGAGCGCATACTGCTACGTTTGCATGTCTTAATTAGGCAGCGCACTCCTCTGAAAACAAATAATATGCACATACATACACTGTATAAAGAACTCGAAGCCTCGGCTTCTTCGGCTTGAAGATGCTCCACCTGCGCTTGGCGCTGAGCCTGGCAGGGTAGCAAAATCTGCAGAGTCAGGAACGTTTAGGGTTTCGGCGCTCAAACTCGGACAATGCAGGCGTTTAGGGTTCGGGGTCTAGGGTTTGATTCCAGATGGGCCCGATCCCGTTTCCTTTGTTTCTTCGGGGCTTGAACACGGAGCGGTTGAACTGAGGCGAATAACAAGAAGCACAGCTGCTGGTTGCAGGGGCGGAAGTGACATAATGAAGCCATATCTCGTCACCCTTACCTGTTGAGAAAATGTTGAGGGGTTCCTTAATGCTTTGGGAACCCACATAGCTGTGGGGCCTTCTTAACTAGCATAGGACCATGGGTATATTCGAAACTTGAATATCACTCTCTTAACTAAGGCAGCCTAAGCAATGATACGTGTTTTGAGCCCTTTAGAATGATGCGGGTATTTGTTCCGACTCCTTTTTTCTTAGGGGCTGAGTACCCTAGCCAAAAAATTAACCTTTTGAATTTATGGTAGGATTATATACACCCCAAAAGGTTAAAGGTTACCTCATCTTAGCTACTCAGCTTTTCTTGAAAGACGAGGCCGCCACCTCGGCGCCTTTTGCCAACTCCTGCAGCTGCTGCTGCGCTGCTTCCAGGCGAACTTGAAGCTGCGCACCTGTGGGTTTCCGAAAATATGGGACCCGAATATAGTACCCTGAATAGTAGGATCCCTATTAGAAGGACCCCAAAATCCCCAAAATAAGACACCCCTAATAACCGGAAACTCCCACCTGTCTCTTCTTCTTGGTTGTGTCCGTAATATAGGGGCCTTTTTTTCCGATGGATGCCTGTGACCGTAGTCGCGCTCGTGAATTCGAGCTTGCAAAGTCCTTGATGAAAAACCAACCCTTAGCCAAAAGCGGCTCGCAACTGAATCATGTGAGCATGGTTCCCGAAGGTAAAACCATCCTCTCGTCTGTGCACGGAGATTGCGCCGTGCTGTACAATGGCGCCGATCTCGTAAAAGTGCCCCTGATCAGCCACGTCAAAAGCGGCTTTGAGGACATCGTCGCCGCTATGGCAACGGTCTCGTAGCGTCGCGAAATGTTCGACCATCCCAGAGTCGCGCAAACCCTTACAAGCCTTAAAGAACCGGAGGTCTAGAGGTTGTGCGGCATGCTGCAGGGCCTCCTGGAGCCAGTCAGTGGCAGGGGCAGCAGCAGCGGTAAGCGGAGCAGGGGGTGGCCGCAGTGTAGCCCAAAATGGGCGCGGTCCGATGAGTGTGGTCACCGGAAGTGATGCCTGGGCGGCATCATGGCCAGGAGCCTCCTCGGTAATGTCGCTGGCAGCGACCACATTGGTACAAGCAGGGCTGACTTTGAGGTGGAGCCGGAGCCGAGAGTTGGTCCAAAATTCTTTGGAGCAAACCTGGCATGCCGTACCGAATGCGACGGAGTGTGCAGCTCCGATGCCATGAGTCCTCTTCCTGTGGGCTCCAAGGGCAGCAGCTGAGTCAAAAGAGCGCCCGCATTGATCGCAGGGGTGCTGGCCACCTTCATCACCCAGGTTGGGCCATATCTCGGCCTCACTGAAGACCCTCAAGCCGAGTTGGTCAGCTCGCAGGAAGAACTGTCCTCTGCGTGCGGCGCCCTCTCGTAGCTCCTCCCGTGTATGGATGGCAGCTTGACGGAAACGCCGGCGGTCTGGGCGGCGTCCTTAGACCAGAGGCCAAACCATGTTAAGCTCGGTGGCCCAGGGAGGACCGGCACAACTTCGTTGGGGAGAGTCTGTGCGGTCAGGCAGAGGTCTGACTGGATAGCCCTCAGCCAGGTCTGCTCGTTAACCAGGGTGGCTCGCAGGAAGGCTGAGCCTTCACGGCAGACCTGTCCGAAAGCCCTGAGCCTACGGATCGCGAGCTCCTCTCGGGGATCCGAGACACTGAGGAGTGCACACACCGCTCCATCGTTGAGCCGCTTGCACGGAAATCCGAAGATCGGGCGAATTGAGCCACGAAGGAAACCCATGTACAGGCGCCGGAAAACCTGGTATTCGGACGCAACTTGCAACGGCCATGTCTCAGTACCATGCAAGAAGGACGCCAAAACGGATCCAACTAGTAGCCGTGTGCGCTCAGCAATAGAGAGTCCCGGGTTGCGCAAAAGGCGGGCTCGCATGGGACGGAAGAGCGCACGTGCAAGGCCGGCACGTCGTTGCAAGTCAGTGCTCGCCGAGCCGGAGACGACTCGCTGCGTACCCAGGTGCACGTAGGACGAGACACACCGGAGGCGGTGTGCTTGGCCTGATGGCCCTGGAAGGACAAGAGTAGCCCCGCCCTCGATGAAAACAGCGTGCTTAGCGGCTCGGCTGCCCCGTCCCCTATGCACAAGTAGAGCCTCGGTCTTGCCCGGCTCGAAGTTTGTGCGCACTCCAATGAGCAGCAAACATTGTTGAGCCAGCGAAGCTGCCCTGGCAGTCGCCGCACCGAGCTCAGCTGGCCGCGAGGATTCCACAAGGAGAGCGAGGTCATCCAGCCACGTAGTGGGCTCGGCCGTGACGGGATTGTGGCCGATGTGGATGGCCGCAGCCAGCCTCTCGGAGCGCATGAGCTCCTCAATTGTTTTCAGCGCTGCAAGGGCAATCGCTTGGAAGAGTATGTCGGCAAGGGGGGCCCCGGGCACTGTTCCAACTTGGGTGGATTGCACCACTGGCGAGGTGGGGAAAGTAGTAAACCACGTCTCGGTAAGGAATTGCTGGAGCACATGCTGCGAAGGCTGGGAGACGCCGAGGGCCGAAAGCACCCCTTGAGGAGGAAGGTGGTGGAGGAAGGTCTGAACCACGAGTGGCTCGACCGGGAGGGCCCAAAGTGCCTGCTCCAGAGCCCCTCTGTCAGCAGAGAACAGCGGGAGTCTCTCAACACTGTAGAAGGCTGAAATGCCGTCCAGAAAAACGACAGAAGCGGAAACTCCCCGCCTCGCTGCAAGCTGGATGTGCGACTGGATGGTCAAAGCCGGGAGGGTCAACGGGATACCCTTTCTTGCCCCACCAGCCGAAGCCAATGTGTGCTCTTCGAAACCCCGCGCGATTTCTGGTCTAAAAGCCTTTTGCAATGCCTTCGCTGCGGGTTCCTGCAGGGCTATGCTGCGGTACCCAGAGGTGCTCTTGGGATTTTTACCCGGTTTGGCAAGGGGCCTCGCAACACTCCCCTTCCATAGGCACGGGACAGTACCACGGAGTGAAGCTTTGAGAAGCAATGGGAGGTGGGCAAGGGCGGCCCCCAACGGGTCGGAGCTATAGAAGGCAGGTGAAATGCGGGAGATGCCGCTGGCACGACGAGGCTTCAGACCTGCAAAAGCTCGGGTGATGTGTGCCAGAGAAGGTAATGCCTCGACGGGTACCGGCTGGTCCGGCACGACAGCGAGGGAGTCATTAGCGATCTCGGCGAGCTGCTTGGGAGTTGCTTGTTCAGCCTTGCCGAAATGTTCACTGAACTTCGCTGCCACGGCCTCCTCATCCCAAATCTCTCCCTCAGGGCCCTGTAGCACTACAGCAACCCTAGGTGGTTTATATGCACGGCCAGACTTCAGGACAGAGCGGAGGAGTCGGGCAAGCTCTGCCGGGCCGGCACCGCGTGCGGCTCGCATGTTTTCTCTGGCGAAGTTAGCGGCATCCGTGCGAAACGAAGCTCGGATCATCTTCGAGGTACCACGCATGCGCCGAAGGTGCAGGAAAGCCCAGCAGTCGTTCCGAAGTCGCAGGGCTGCAAAGCGCACTCCGAAGTCATCTGCGGTGCTGCAACGCGGTGCTGCCGCCCATGCACGAAAAGTGGCATGTAGAACTTCCCTGAGGTGGAGGGTCGCCCGCCGCCGATGAATGCGGCGCAGATGCCGGCGGTGTGCCAAGAGCAACCACGTGTCCTGGGTCAGGTAGGGACAACGGGGCCGTGATCGGGTAGCCCCGAAGTGCTGCTTGATAGCACGCTGAAAATAGCTATTCAAACAGGCAAGGTGGTCGTTGGCCTCCATTGCCCAAGGAATAGGGGGTACATGCTGCATAATGTTGTGGATGGCAGACCTGCCCTCCGCGGTGAGCATTAGTTCTGTGTCCGGTGCCTTTGCTCGGGGAGGCGGAGGAAGCGCAAAAACCTCAACATCGACAACGAGCGGCCAGTGGTCAATTTCTGCGTGCAGATCAAGGAAATCAACAGTACGAAGTCTGCTGAGACCACTTTGCCATGACTCCGGGACCCCAGAGTAGTCGAGGCATGTCGGGAAACCGTGAGGTGACCGCCAGGTCCTCAAAGGTGACCCGTCTGCTGCGGTTATGCCTGTATGCCACAGCCCAGAGGTAGTGCAAAGGTCATCAAAGCACTGTGCGTTGAGATTCTCCGGCTGGAGCACAATGCCTCGGGCAGTGTAACGGGCGTTGCAATCGCCCATGAAAATGGGCACTGTGCCCGGGGGAAGGGCATCAAGACGGCTGCGACAAAGTTGCCAAAAATCATGGACAGCGTTATCAGCCGTAACCGTTGTGCGTGCATGAGCAACCAGGAATGCCAGGCGGAGGCTGCCCCACTGCGCATAGACAACCAGGAGCCTGGGGTGAGCATAAGCAACGCAGACTTTGGATGGGTCCCACCCCCCCGGGCCTTCGATGCGCAGCCAGAGCTGGCATCCCTCTTGGCCTTCGGATGCATCGGAGGCGAGCTTGAGGATGCCATCCGTGAGTTCAACGGCCTGCCCTTGGATGCGGGTCTCCTGGAGGGCTAAAACGTCTATCCCGTGCTGTTTCATGGCCGCACAGAGGCATTTGCGCTGTACCGGTTTGAGCGCGGAGAGGGTGTTATACGTGCATAGCCTCCATTTGCACGAGATCGGCCCCGCTTGTCGGGGAGGCGCGCTCCAGTCGGGCGCCCAAGCGGAAGGAGTGGCGATGGGCAAAATGCGTGAGCTGGGTGGGCTCGGCACTATGTGCCCGGCTGCGTCGATGTCAGGAAACCCCTCAAGACGGGGGGCGTACATCCATAGCCAACTGAAGTCGCGCTGCAGGATACTCTGTGCGACATCAGCAAGGCCTGTTGCAGAACAGGCAGGTACCGCGCAGAGGGAGGCTTTGGCGAGGCTGTCAGCAAGCTCATTGGCAGCTTGCCCTTCATGTGCATGCACGTGAAGAGACAGGGGCTCCCGGTGTGCAAGACGCAGAAAGGCGGTGACAGCAAGCGCGGCTTCCGCTAGTGGTTGCTCGTGGGCAGAAATGCCGCCGCGAACAGCAACGCTGGCAGCTCCAGTGGAATCAAAACAGATTCCAGCCTGGCAGGGCAAGGTTGCCGTGAGGCAACGCGCAACAAATTGAGCTGCGAGTTCTGGCTCAAAGGCACTACGGATTGGGAGACAGTTGGGATAAGTTCCCGTCAAGTGCCCTGCCCATCCCCAAACCGAGTTCTGCCGTGCGAAAGCAACAACGGCCCATCCTCCGCGGCCCTCCTTGAAGGAGCCGTCAACATAGAGCTGAACGGCATCGGTTTGCTCTGAGATGACCTGGCGGGGGAGAAGGCGCAGCATATTCTGTGCTTGAGGGTGCAGGTGAACCCCTTGAAGGTCGAAACCCAGACCGCTATAGTGGAATCCCCTGAAAAAGTCATCAACGAGGTCGGAGGTAACTGGAAAGATGGCAGGGGCC